GGGCATCGAGGAATTTTTTCATATTTTTGATAACCAAATGATCCTCGGATTCCCAGTGAAGCAGCACGCTCATAGATACTTGCTGAACCGTCTCCTGAATAGAATGTAAGCAGCACCGGCCATCAATGAATGCAGAACGATGATGCGAAAACGATGCACGTGTAAAGCACGTGGTGGACCAAAAATTGTGAATGGGTTGGCTTAGGACAACTAGTGACAAATCGTGCTGAGCAACCGGGAGCCCATGTACCATGTATACGGACGGACTATATGCACTCCACTCACAGATGACGTACTCCCATTATAGATGCGAAGGTCTGTTGAATAGAGTCGCTCAGGCAGAATTGTTTACTGGATATATTTCAACACGCAGTAGAACTATCTATTTATCATTGTATCGCAGTAAAGAATGAAGCACAAAAGATAAGGGGGACGATAAATAGCATCAAATTCCGTTACAACTACAGAGCAACCTTCTGTAGCACAGTGACAGTACACCACGAAGCAACTCTCCAATCAGCCCTTGGTTCTGTCATAATCTGGTCGGACTCACCGTTTTGCGGAGCAACTGTTGCTTAAAAAGGCAACCGATGGTCAATCGAAGGAAACCACACAGGTAGGTAAAAGATGAAGTGTTCAGCTGCTCAGCCAAATGAATAAGCAAAGTGTCTCCAGGAAGCTGTCCCAATTGGCGCTCCGGAATAAATGCGCATACCTGTTCTCCCATATATCTTGAGGTCATCGCAATGAGAAACGCTTCCGAGACTACAGCATTGCCTCGTCAGTTTTTGCGAATGTTCACCGACAGTCGATCCCAAAAAGATCGAAGCCGGTCGCTGGTTGTTCGGTTTTCACCAACCTCATCAGTAGTGTTGAACGCAACTGCACTCAGATTCAGACATTTTCACACGCAGAGTCTACTAGGCATTTTTTCCACTTGATATTTCCGGATCTTGATTGCAGTCTTTTTGCTTCGCTCCTGAACAGCTAAACTGAACTGGTGTCGTCTCACATCATCCTTCGCACCTATTCCTGGTGTTTTTTTTGGTATGCTAGGATTTTGTCCATCTGCTTCGTAAGTCTACTTTCCATTGTCCCCATCTTATTCAAGCTGCCGAAGTTATTGTCACCCTGCCGGGTAATTGAAAGCACTGCTTTCGACACAACTATCGTACCACGTGTAGGTCACAAACAAGTTCTAGCAGCTCCAGTTGCGTTCACCACCGATACAGGAGACGGGGTGTATTGGAGT